TTATGTTCCTCAGATTGTAGCAAGAGCATACAAACGGACATTTGATTGAGCGATTTATCATGCCGAGATACTTGGAAAGGGGAATTGTTATCATATTAACATACAGCGGTGCTTAAAAATTGGTGAACTCCGGATTTTTCACTCTGTCTAAATACCACCTGATCTATATTCTCCACATAAGACCTAAAACTAGATAAAAGGAAAACCAATGAGTAAAAAAAATATAAAAAAAATTATAGTGCTCTCTGGATTTCCTCCTGAAGGCAGGGGAGGGGGGAGGGGCAAGTATTCCTCGACTTACAACTTCAATTGCGCCCCAAATTTCGCAATTGACTCCCCAAAATGTGCACCTACGGAAAAGTTAAACTTTTAAAGGGTGGGGGGGGGCGGCAACGGACCAGCTCTTAGCGCCTCTTCTCTTGCACTTGTTTACACTGATTTTGTAGACCGGGATTAAAAAGAAAGTGGGATGGCAAAACGGCGAGCCCAGTAGCCGGGGAAGGAAGGAAGGAGGTGGCAGGAAATTCGGGCAAAAATCTAGGGAAACGAGGCTGTGGAGACCAGCATTTGGGGTCCAGCAAGCCAACTTTCGGGCTTCCCCCTCCGCGGTCGCCAGCCTCTCTCCCTCCTCGCGTACACTCACCCCTCTTTTTTTTAAATATTTTTTAAAGAAACCCCAACCAGACAAAACTTTGAAAGCGCAGCCAGAGGCGCAGGAAACAGGTGTTAACCCTTCCGAGGCTACGCCCGGGTTAGGAGGCTGCTTGGTGAAATCGGAGCGGCCAGATCCTCCTGGTCTCCAGGCCGGGCAGGAGAACACACACACACACACACACACAAACAAACACCAAGCCAGAGGGAAAGTCGCCTGGGCCGCGCAAGAGAAGAAATGGGAGTTTAGGGGGGGTGGGGTGGAGACCCAGACGACGCTTGGGAAGGAAAGCGTTTCCAATGAGCTCAGGAGCCAGCCCCGCTTTTGTTAGGCAAGGGGGGCGACGGGTGGGCCGGGCGCGAGGTGAAGGGTGAGCCATGCAGCCTCCTCCGGCGAGAGCGGCGCCCCGGGCAAGCGAGGTAAGAGCCGAGCGAGGGTCTCGCGGGCTTTGCAGGAATCCGGCCAGGATTTGCCAAGCGGGAGTGAAGCGCTTCGTGGCGTTCCGCCTTTCCGGGACGCTTTGAAACTCGCCAAGTGGGAAAAGGCGACGGCAGCCGGGAGTCGGTTGGCCGGCGAGGGCTTTGGAACAACACACCTCCTTGGGCTGGCGGTGCCTTGGCTAGCCAAACTCCGAATCCCTGGGAAGTAGTACCTCGCAGGACCAACCTTGGAATCGGTGGAGATTTAAGTCGTGGTTACTCGGTACGTGTCCCTTGGGCTGGAAGTCCCGCTTTGTTTTGACTAGAATTTTATTTCCATAGGGGCGCAGCCTTCAGCTGCCCGCGTTGACACTTGCCCTTTTCCCTCTCCCTCTTTTTTATTTTTTATTTTTTTTTATTTTCTGGGAATTTTCCCGGATATTTTATCGGGAATCGGGGAGATGTGGCGGAAAGGTTTACGTTGTACTAAACCTGACCCAGCAAAGTTCCCTGGAAGAGTTCTGCGCGCGCGCGCGCGCGCGCGTGTGCACAAGCCGGGCGAAATTCCCTCTCAACTTTTTGGCTCCTACCGGTAGCAACTGAACTCGGGAAAACGGAGGAATCTTGTGCTTGAACTAACTACCAGCTAACTTTGTGCTGGCATCTGATTTGGGAAAGCTTTGCCAGTCTCTTATCTAGTGTTGCAGCAGGTAGCAGGTACTGAACGTGCTTAGTAAAAAGTCAGCCCCGGACGGTTAACTTGGAGAACTTGGTGGAATCTACTGGGAATATTTGCTGTCTGGATTCGTGCGCGTAGCGGTGAATTAATACAGCTAAAAAGGTGAAAAATGTTGAAGCTAACGGGAATGCAACGTTTGGCGGGGGCGGGGGGAGCAAAATAACTCCAACCACGCAATTTACCGCTCCTGTCTGGTGCAGATACTATCAGCGTAGAATACAAACCATTAGTAAAGTCTGTGGAATAGACACGTTCTGGTCTTCAGCCAGAATGAATGGCCCAGAGGTGTCTTGTGAGATGTTTCCTTTGATTGAAAGTTACACGTGAATAGTTGATGAAACTCGGAAGGCAGCAGCCTCTCTCGTCTCCCCCCCCCCCGCCCCAGGATCTGAAAACAGGCGCAGTTTTAGAAGAGATGTTGAAAGAACATATGAGTTAAAACTAGACCGTTTTGGAGGATCCAAAGATCAGGACTTTTATTTCTGCTGTAATCTCTGCAAAGGTTTGAACTTGAAGTCAGTCTCCTTCCCTCCCCCCCCCCCC